AGAAGAGATATTACAAAAATAGCTCAAAATCTTCATCTTCTTGGCTTGAATCCTTGACTCCAAGATCAACCTAAGCCTCCAATTAAGCTCCAAGGTCACTCAAGGTCACACTCTCTCTCTCTCTCTAAAAACGCCTCTTTGATGTTTTGGGTCAAAACCGTAGAGAGAGAACCAAGTTCTCCTCCAAACACCACCTCACCTTTCTCTCTCCGCTGTTGTCTTTTTATACAGGCCGAGAGCCAATGTCACGGTCTAATGTTGTAGCCATGACATTGGCAACATGGCCATTATCTTGGACGAAAGCACAGCCGTTTTGGGCAATTCTCACGACCTCCTTGCAATTGTCATGCCATGTGACCGTGAGAATGGACCTGCCTGCGAGACGTGCAAAGCCCTCTTGATTTTTTCCATTGTCACGCCCTGGGCTCTATTGTCACAACCGTGAGAATTACCTCTTGCCCGTGATAATTGCACATACTCCACTTCAAAGCGAAGAGTGGGTCAACTAAACACAAAAGAAAAACACAATGGCTAAAGGAACAAACCCAAGCTTTTTTCGATAACCTAGAATGTTCCCTGGCAACGGCGCCAAAAACTTGACTTGAATCTAACTACAAATCCCAATTAACATCCAAGTATAATCGACGACCGAGTGTAGCATAGGGTAAGCAAGCAATAAAATTTATCGAACCACAGTGGTCTAGGCTTACTTTACTTCGGGTTGAGGTTTCGTTATCTAGCCAACACATAATAGTGATTAAGAAACTAATATAGTTAACATAACCCTAACCTAACCACTACTGTAGATAATTATAAGTTTTGGAGTTCTCTTAGCTTGAATTCCCGTAGTTATATCGTTTGGATCGATGTTGAGTACTATCCTAGGCCCTAGCTTGCTCGATTCACTACCCTACTGTTATAAGATCGACTCACTAGGGATTGACCCGGAATGGCGAAGTGATGGATAGGTAGGTTCATGTTCAATCTATGGATTCCTATATTGTTAGAGGTAGATCGAATCAACTCCCTCGGGGATTACCCAGACGAAATACAATAAGAGTGACCCTAAGATGCCAATAATGGGCTCTAAGGGAATTTTCTACCTCCTAGGTCAAAAGCTTTGACATGTAGAACTCATGCAATTTATAAAAACCATCCATCAATTAGATAATAAACACAATCAAACATAAGATTTGTCACATACATCAACATTAAACCAAAATCTAGACCTAGGGTTCATCAACCTAAGAGAAAGAGGTATAGTTCATAGAAAGAGAAGAGATATTACAAAATATCTCATGATCTTCACGCTCTTCATCTTCTAGGCTTGAATCCTTGACTCCAAGATCAACCAAAGCCACCAATTAAGCTCCAAGATCACTCAAGGTCACACTCTCTCTAAAAACTCCTCTTTGAGGGGTTTTGGGTCGAAACCCTTGAGAGAACCAAGTTCTCCTCTAAAGACTAGCTCCCCTTTCTCTCTCCCCATTGCTTTATTTTTATACAGGTCGAGAGCCAATGTCACGACCGCGAAATTGACAATCCGGGCATGATCTCGAACGAAATGCAACCGTTTTGGTCAATTCTCACGGCCTCCTTGCAATTTTCACGCCTTGTGACCGTGAGAATGGACCTGCCCGGGAGACTTGCGAAGCCCTCTGGATTTTTGAAATTGTCACGCCCTGGGCTCTATTGTAATGGCCTTGAGAATTACCTCCTGCCCGTGACAATCGTACATACTCCACTTTTTGGCTCGTTTTGATCTCCAAATGACCCGAAACTCGTCCCCGACCTTCCAACACGTACTAGTACTTGAAATATGACAATATAAGCACAACCTAGCGTAAAATAGGTTGAGAAACAACGATAACCAAGTCAAACAATCATGATATGAGGGGGCAAAACATGTGTAATTGTGGCCAAACCAATGGTTTGTGATTAGTGTTTTCAGTCCTAACCATGAAGTAGAAGAATGTCAAATCATGAGGGAGGCAAGCACTCAAGAAGAACAAGCGAACTTTATTGATAATGATAGGGACGATAATCCGAACAACATCGCCTATAGCAGTACATACAATCTAGGGTGGTGCAATCATCCCAACTTCGCATGGTCATCACCAACCAATGCGAAACCACCTGGTTTCCCAGAACCAATCGGAGGTTATCAACCAAGACCTCTATTTTTTCAAAGGCCACAATTCCAATACTTTGAACTTTCAACAACAACAATACCAACCACAAGGTGTGCAAGGGTTTCAGCAACAACAACAAAAACTCGATAGGGTCTCCAAGATTGAAGACTTAGTCACAACCTTTGTGAGTAAAAGCTCTCAAAAGTTTGAGTAGATTGAGAAGTTCATGGAAGTTGCATAAAACAAGTTTACTTCAATTGAGGCTGGTTTAAGATGTTGTCAAGCAAGTCTTCAAAACTTGGAGACTCAAATTGGAAAACTTGTCGATATCTTCACCGAGAGACCACAAGGAGCTCTACCTTTACAAAGCATTGCTAACCCAAATATCCAAAAGTGAGGGTGCATGTTATTACACTAAGAAGTGGGAAGGTAACTAAAGATGTTGCAACAAAAGAAATAATGGAAGAAGAAGAACCCCTCCAAAGGTTGATGAACAAATTTCTTTGCTAGGAAATGATGAAGAGGCTAAGAGGCACCGCCGACACTACCGCTCATGGCTGAGTATAAGCCTCCACTTTCTTTCCCCACAAGATTTCACAAGGGTCGTTTTGGGGCGGAGTTCTGGGAATTGACGGAGATGCTCAAGAAGCTCAACGCATCGGTTTCTTTCTTGAATCTAGGTAGTTTTACTATCCCCTATTGCATTGGAACATGTCATATAGAGAAATCCTTTGCGGATTTGGGAGATAGAATCAATATCATGCCATACAAGCTTAACAAGAAGTTAGACGACCTAGGTGAATTGAAATCCACTAGTTTGAGTGTTATATTGGGTGACCGTTCTGTGATTCATCTTATAGGCATAGTAGATAATGTCCTAGATCGAGTGTGCAAGTTTTAATTATCCGACGGATTTTTTATCCTGGAAATTTGTGAGGATACATGACCTTCATACTAGATCGACCTTTCCTAGCCATTGTCTAGGCATTAATTGATGTGAATGTGGGAACAATGATTTTGAGAGATGGTGAGGAGAGTATCACCTTTTCGATTGATCCAAATGATAAACTTGAGAATGTGGATGTGATAGAATTGAACGGTGTTATTGTTAGTGGAGGTAATCCTCCCAAGGGAAACCCAACTTGTGCTCCTCGTGTTTATGGTGATGTGAAGCAGGATTCAAAGGCGGGTACAAAACCTGAAGTTAAGGGGTCGTTTGGATGAGTTTTTTGGTTGTGTGGTTTGTCAGTGATATTTGTAAAAATGGAGGAAGGAAATGTCTTGTTTCGATGGACCAAATGTGGACCAAATAGAAGATTTATTTTAAGTGGGGTATTCATGGCAAAAAGTGATAAAATACCATCATGCCCTCTTTTTTGGTTCTTGGTTGCCTTACCCTTGGACAACACATATAAGCTTCCACAACTTGAAAAACACAGCTAACAATCAATGCATAATTCATCATAGAACAATTAATTACATTGACCATCTATTTCTAGTAGCTTGTATTCTAATTAAAAGCTCATTCTTGGTGAAATCAGTACAAAAAGTCCAGAAAAATAACAAGGCCAGAGGCCAAAAGTCAAATGCAGCAAAAACAAATAAAACCAAACTTTCTATTGCCCTTCTCAAACTTCGATGATTATATGAGCACCACAACCAAAACACATACTCATTCCTTGCTGCATTTTGTCCATGTTTATCACTACATCTTACTGTATCACTTGCTTCCTTCCAAGAGCACTCTCATAAGTCATAACCAAGTAACTGCAACAGCAACAGAGAAAGAAAATTCTCAGTGTCGCAACCGTTCCTTCTGAAGTCGAGGTCGTTGCGTTCATTTTTTTGAGTCGCCATCGATCTTACTTGGAGTGGATCGAACACTCTCCGAATCGGCTCTAAGGGTCAGAACCGAGATATGGTCTACGGTTAAGAGATTCGGGTTCGGGAGTACGGTTACGTGCGGGGAAGTGAAATCACACCCCGCAACGCCCTAAATCGGTACTACTTAAGTTGATAAGTTTTATGTATGTTGGGTGTTATGTTGGTAATTATTGTGTATTTTAAAATCCCACTGGATTATTAATATATTGCTTATGACTTAACTAATACGTCATTTGACGTTTAATTTATGATTAGATATTTTAGATATTTTTAGGGCCTTACTAGACGACTAAAGAAATTAAATCGTATTAATTGTAATTTAACTATATGCCCACTGAAGTAAAAATTAAAAAATAAAGTTAATTGGTTAGTTGGGCTCGAACCTTATTGGTTGCCTACGTATCCGCAATACGGGATCAAAGTCCACGTAGTTCGTTTATAACTTTGATAATTTAATTTTATGACTTTTGTCACGTTACACCTATAGTGGTTCTCGTATTAAAGGTTTTGTTAACTTTGATAGTTTTAATCATAACTTTTATCACGTTCCACTGAACGTTATTCTCGCATTATAATTTTGTTCATAGAGTTTCAATTAGATTATTATGATATTACTAAAATGAAAGTAAGAATTTTAATTATTAAGAAGAAATTCGATGTATCAGACAAGAAGCAAAACTAACTTAATCCGCATTTCACATTTTATATTAAGGACTATAAACAAATAAAACTAAGCGGGATGATTATCATTACGCATGATGAGCCAGTAGCCCAACTGTTTAAATTTCCAGTCATTGACCGCACTCGTTCCACTGAATCTCGCCACAATTTTTTTGTCGCTTTTTTCGTTTCAGAGAAAGGGGAGGGGCAATTTCGTAATTGCTCAAAAGGACGGTGGCAGGGCCACATTATTTTTTGGAAACACTAAGGGAAAAAGGGTCATTTATGGGTCGGTATAAAATTGTCTCTTAAGACAAAATTAAACCCTAATCAAACCTAAACTAGTTCAGCCACCGCTCATCTCTCTCTCTCCCTCTCATTTTTTTTCCCGCCGTTCTTCTTCTCGTTCTCTCTCTTCTCACTGGCTCCCCTGAGACGAGAAGGAAGAAGAAGAAACTCTAAACAAACATTACAAAATGAAACCCTTCTTCTCGCCTTCTCATCGATCTGTCCTCTCTCTCGAATCAATCCATCCATCCATCCATCCACTTCCTTCTCTCTTTGATTCTGAAAGCGACGAAAAAAATGAGAGGGGATGGATTCGACGGCGGCGATTGAGGCATGCGCCGTCGGCGATGACAACGACGACAATGAGGGTGTAGTTAGAGGTTCATTTTTTTGTTTTGCATGTACGATTTTTACTATTTTCAGATTTGATTTTAGAGTTTTTGAAATTCTGATCCCGTTTTCTTGTTTATTTTTTGGGAAAATGGATTTAAATCGAGGTGTGGCTTCTCGATCTATCTTACCCTTTCTTCGATCTATTCTCCTAGCTAGAACAGCGGCGACACTGAGACTATCTTAACCTCTGGTAAGTCTTTCAATAACATGCATGCTTATTTTGAGATTTTCTAATTCGTATACGGGATTCTGATGTATATGTTTTCTTCTTCTTTTCTTTTGGACGTGGTGAGAAGGAAAAGGGATGACAGAAGGCGACAACCGTGGATTCGTCTCTTGGGTAAGCCTTCTCGTTTTTGTGTGTGTGTATATGGGTATGTAGGCAAATTCTGATATTTGTTCCTATTTTGACAGGATTGGAATGAAAGAAAAAGATTTATGTGAGTTCCCTAAGAAATGTATAGCTATTACTGGGTTTCTTAACCAAAACCATATCTTAGGGATTAATTAGTTTGATGATTTAAAATTATTGGACTAAGTTCTATCATTTTTGTGATTTTGTGAATGAGGTTTGTGCGGCTGGTGTTGCTAAGTTCTAGATAGCTAGGAATAGATTCCACAACGTGCTGCTTAAATTGGTGTTTTATGGTGGCACTTTGTAAAGCGGTTGTTCTTAGTTTTTGAGTTATAAGTGATTGAGATAACCTAATATCAGAGCTACTGCTTATGATTTATAGGTTGATTGAGGTCTAGCGTTTCTGTCTAACTGATTTTTAAATTGATTGGAGATTCTAGAAAATCTCTTTGCCTACTGTTTTACATGGAGAGAGTTTGAGTTAAACAGATCTAGAAAAAAACTTATATCACAAGATAGTGAAATATGAAGAGTAGTAATATCTAAAAAATGAATCTAGAAAAAGAACAGATTCGATATACTTGTTGCTTTCGTTATTGCTTTTGTCGAATCTATATATGCTAGATGAGTGTGGTTTTGTTTAATCTATTATCAAGTCGGTTGGCTTGGTCAAATCATAGCACGATTTTGTTTCAAATGAATAGAAAAACTCTAACTGGAAGTTATCTAATATAACCATATACATGCAAATATATCATGTAGAACATTCATTTCTTCTTTCAGTTATGCTTAATAGGTCTAGATGAATGAGTATTCTTATACATGCATGAAATATGGATTTAAGAATACCAACCTTCACTGCCGAGAGTGGTTTCTTGTGGTTGATAGTTTGCTGGTTGCTTGCTGTCTCCTTTGCCTCCGGTTCTATGATTCTAGAACTGCCTTTTGCTTGTCCTTTCCTCTACCGATCAACTTATCTCTTCTCCTATCAACCTCGCTGTTTTTTTTTGCTCCTCCTCCCCAGGTCCTCTCTTTGTTGTAAGAAAGCTCTTTTTGTATTGTTCTTTCCTCCATTGTTAATTTTTTCTTGTGTGTTGGCCTATTGATTCTGGTTGACCGGGTTGGGTTGATGATTGTAAGCCTGAATTGTAAGTTTGTTCCCTAAACGTGGGCTTCTGATTTGGAGTTGGGTTCAAGGTTCTAATTATTTCCTTTCTTTTTGCAGGTACCCAACATGGCTTTTGGGCCCAAAATGATGAGCAACGACCCTACTTTTGAAATTACTTTGGTCCATCTCTGTTGTCTTTCATTGTGATCACATTGTAAGACTAGTATAGTTGTGTTAGGGGTTAATTGCATGGTTAGTCACTCAAATTACAAAAAACGTTCATGTTTGGTCACTCGAAATATTTAATTCCATTCTTGGTCACTAAAATTAGTTAAAGAGTTCAAGTTTGGTCACTCTCCGTCCATCTCCGTTAACTTTTGCGTATGTGGCAGTCAACTCTTACAATTGACCGTTAAATGTGCCACGTGGCAATTTAAAAATTAATTAAAAATAATATTTTAAATTTTAAATTTCCAACTCATTATTCCAACTAATAAAAATTATAAAACACCTAATTTCTTTTCTTCTAATTTCCATGCTCGGCTGAACCTCAACCGTCCATCTGCGGCTTCACTCACGCCGGCCACCTCTCCACGAGCTCCCCATCAATGAAAATCCCCTAAATCAAAGACAACCCACCCAAATCTCATCCCAAACCTTTAATTCCCGGGGTTTTCTTGCAATGGAGCCAGGAAAGCTCGCTACCCGTGTCGAGCACCATCGTCACGGCCTGCGGCGGCGACCCGACAGTGAGGGAGACGGTGAGGGAGACGTTGTGGTGGAAGAGCATCTTGTCGGATTTGGAACCCGCGGCGAGGGTTTGGAACAGCCTGGAATTGGGAATCCGCTGGTGGGTCTCTGTTTTCAGGGCGAAAATTTGGCGAGGCGGCTTCGAGGCGAGACAGTGCTGTTCTGGTAGAAGGGAAATTAGGAAGATGAAGAGGGGAAGGGAAACAGAGTGGCGGATTGAGAAGGCCATGGCGGCGGTGATTTGTTGTTGCGGGGAGGTGTGGGTTGAGTTTGGGTTGGTTCAAATCAATGGTGGATTTGAGGGGAGAGTGAATATATAGTACATAGTGTATAGTAGGGCGTGGAGGGGATTTTGAATTGAAGACGGAGATTCTGTAGAGCGGAACGACGTTGTCCGGACTCCCCACGATATTTTCCCCGAACTATTTCAATCGGAAGATGTTCTACAGCTTCTTCTCGCCGACAAAACCCTTCACAGTATCACTATCACCACGTTGGCATGCAACGACGTCCCATCCCCACCCATATCCGGGTCGACTTTTTGGGCTCCCGGATCTCCAAGCCTCACTTCCCGCTCCGGGCCCAGATCCCCATGTACGTCGGGTGCTTCCCCGAAGAAGAGGAGTTGGGGGAGCAAGGCGTGGTTGTTGTGGTTGAGGCGGTAGTAACCGCTGACAATAGCTGGGGGAGCAAGGCGTGGTTGTTGTGGTTGTGTCGTAATTGGAGCTGTTATGAAAGTGAAGGTAGGAGTTTTAGTTGTAGCAGTAGCAGGAGTATGAGGGTTAGGGATGTTCTGCAAGGGATCCTGCATAATTAAGCCAATTGGAATTTGAACAGGGGAAACCTTACCTTATAATATAATACTCTGTGTTTGCTCTGTTTCTTTTCATGAAAACAGAGATGAACAATCTCCAAGTTCGTTGAGTGCGATATCATGCATATTCATCGATTGGCGAAACAGGATGGTCTCAATTTTCAAATCATAGTTTTCCCACGGCGGTCAGTACCTGTCCGGTATCGACCGTTCAAGAGAAATTCTACCAGCCTGTTCACCTCGGAGATGAGGAGCTGGCGGAGCTTCTCGACGGAGCACCTAGCGGAATCCGAGAGCCACCACCGCTGAGGCGATGGTCTCCGGGAGGCGGGAGGTACTGCGAGGACGAAGATGAACTGCGACTGGAATTCGCTGGGCGACGGCGGTGGTAGTGCGGCGGCGGAGTAGGTAACTCCAACGGCATCGGGGTTTGGTCGGTAGGGTATGGAGATTAGAAGAAATTAGTTTTAATATTTTTATTTTTTTAATAATTGTGATAATGAGGTGGAAATTAGTTTTAATATTTTTATTTTTTTAATAATTGTGATAATGAGGTGGAAATTTAAAAAATTAAATTTTTTTATTTTTAATTAATTTTTAAATTGCCAAGTGGCACATTTAACGGTCAATTGTAAGAGTTGACTGCCACATAAGCAAAAGTTAACGGAGATGGACGGAAAGTGACCAAACTTGAACTCTTTAACTAATTTTAGTGACCAAGAATGGAATTAAATATTTCGAATGACCAAACATGAACGTTTTTTGTAATTTGAGTGACCAACCATGCAATTAACCCGTTGTGTTAGATAGTTACAAAAGGGTATGTATGTGATGCAAAGGGATTCAAAGAAAGAAGTGTATGTTACCTCAATCTTGTCAAACATTTGTGTGTCGAATTCCAAATGTCAAAACTTTGATCATTTTAGCCAAACGAAGCCGCCATAAACATTTTGCTACTCATTTGATGTTCAAAATTAGCAACAGCTAATTTTAAATAAAACATACCTAACCTTATTTATAATTGTTGGTACTTATTGACTTGCTACGGCTAGTCTCAATCAAATCAATATCAAAATTAAACAAAAGTGAATTTGGAAATCATTGGTATTTCATCGACTTGCCACGGCTAGTCTCAATCAAATCAATATCAAAATTAAACAAAAGTGAATTTGGAAATCATTGGTATTTCATCGACTTGCCACTGCTAGTCTAAACCAATTCTATTCAAACTTTCACTTCAATTTTTAGCTTTTGCGTTTTAAGTAAAATGGTTGCTCCGGACAAAATGTGGTGTCTACTGTTGCCCCCCTTTGTATATCTCTTTGTATAAAGAGTTATACAAAGTTCCTATAAAAACACCACATTTTAAGAAAAATAGCATGATGGGCGTGTTAGATTCCTTATAAAGAATGTGATTTTGGAGTGATGTGAGAAATGTATGTAATTTTGTGTGTTTATATTTGATCACCAATTGCGACGACTTCAGTTTCTTTGATAGTCTTCACCAAAGATGGAAAATTTACGTTTTTATATAGCGTTCGCCAACGCGGGAAATTTTCTGATACTCACTCTATTATATTTCTTTGAAGCTTGCCAATTCTAGTTAGGTATTTAATGATAGAGGCGCTTCTCAGCTCTCATGCATTGTTGAATGATAGAGAGGCCAGCTCCTGGGAGGTATTAAATGGTTGGAGAGCTCTTTAGCTCCCGTGCGTTGTTGACTGGTAGAGGGGCTTGCCAGCTCCTGTGAGGTATTAATTTGGTAGGGATGCTCCTCAGCTCCCTTGCGTTGTTGACTGGTAGAGGGGCTCGCCAGCTCCTGTGAGGTATTAATTTGGTAGGGGTGCTCCTCAGCTCCCGTGCACTGTTGAATGATAGAGGGGCTCGCCAGCTCATGTGAGGTTTTGAATGGTTTGGGCGCTCCTCAGCTGAAACACCCCAACCCGGCCGGGTACTAATTTTACCAAAATGCCCTTGATGACTCATAAACCAAAATAAGAACGAAAGACTTGTGGAAAAAAATGGAAGCTTTCCATAAATAACCATAACAAATACTGAAGTGAACTGAAATCTCTTAAAACAAAGCCCTAACACTTGGGCAAACCTCAACCATAGAATCTTAATCTGAATCTCCAATCACTACTCATAATCGTAAATCAATAACTAAAACTCTACTTTGTTGTCTGCTCGGATTCGATCTCTAGCACCTCCAGTGACGCTTGTACTATCCTCCTCTAATTGGCTTGCCTCGAACAGCTTTCTCGATCTCGCTGCTCACTAACTGCTCCTCTAGCTGCAACTATCGATCTAGTTCTCGCTTATTCCTTTACTAAGTCCTGGTGAGTGAGATGGGGTCAGTCTACGCCCTTACGTTTTAATAACTCTAATACTTGAGTACCTTACTTAAACACCTAACTTTGACTAGTGGAAGTTGTTTGTACTTCCAATCTTAAAATCTTAACTCTTAAACTTTGAGGGAGTTGAAGTTACTCTCCTCTCTTAAAGCTCAAATCTTGACTTAAATACTTGACTGACACGGGGATCCCTCACTAGTTAGTCCGGTTGCCAACTCATACGTATGAGAAGCCATCCAGACTTTCCTTAAACTTAAACTTAGTTAGGGAAGTCGTAACGATTCATCCCCCTAACATCTTAAACTTATCGTGGTGGCTCTTCACCACGATTCTCAAGGGCATAACTGCTGCCCATCTTTAAAGTCTCAAGAGCATAACTGCTGCTCTGTCTCAAAGATCTCAAGAGCATAACTGCTGCTCTATCTGAAAATCTCAAATGACAACGGACTGGCGCTAGCGACTAAAAACACTTAAAACGACTTCACCTTCTTGAAGGTGAGTTACTTCTTCAAAACAAATGGTTCCTTAAACTTTAACAATGACTCATAAACTTAAAGCTTAAATTGAAATAAGAACTCATGCACATTCACATCAAGCATAGCTCAACAAACACATATCATCAATCATAAGCACAATCAAACAACGACATTCACTTCATCAAAATACTCAAGACTTGAAACTCTTGAAAGAACACGCAAGGCGTAGAATTTACTCCCTTTACACTCACCTTATTCTCCGTTGTTGCTTCTCATAGTAATTCGATATCCTTCATATGATATTAAATTCCCTCTTTCTTCTCCATGTATGACCAGCTCCATGCATAAAAGTTCAAATTAGTGGTGAAATTCTTGAACTACATGTGGCTAAACCATGCACCACTCTACTTCACTACTTGATTTCACGTCTCCCTAATTCCATGATCACTAATCAATAAACTTCATCACCAAACCATATATATACACACGTCTTCCACTGTGCCATGCATGATTCCTTAATCTTTGAAACAACCTAATATATATCCAAGAATCCCTGCTGCTCAAAAATACTTTATCAAACCCACGTACTAAAGTATCCTAAAATTAATCGCCCAAGAGTGATTAGTAATAACCAGAGCAGAATCAATATTTATTCATACTCCCACATATGCGCATGAATAACGAATCCGTACCTTCACCTGAGCAGCAATCCTTGTTCGATTTCCTCTTCTCGGTTTGGGCTTTCACTCTCGTCTCCATTTAGGTACAACTATTTGGATGGTGCTGATGACGAGGGGAAAAGGATTGGCGGCGATTGGTGATATTTGCCCCCCGCTCTCGCAAAACTGCTGCTGCTCCCTCTCCCTCTCCGTCTGTTCGTGGGTCTCG